GTCCTCACCGCAGCTGCGTCTCCAGCCCGTGGCGCGCGCGGTTGGCCTCCTCCAGGTGGCGCTGCAGCTCCTCCTGCCGCTCCCGGTAGGCCGCCTCCTGCTGGCACAGCTGCTTGTTCTCCAGCTGAAGCCGCAGGAGCGTCTCCCTGCCGACCGGGGAGTGAGCAGGGCTGGAGATAGGTCAGCCCGCAGGCCTGCCGGGGCTCTGGCGGGGAGACTGGGCGGACAGGGCTAGCAGAGGGACAGAGCCCCGGGGAAGAGCCCCGTTAGATCCTAGGGAAGGGTCAGAGTACTGGGGACCCGGCCTAGGCGTGGGTGGGCAGAGCGCTGGGGAACCAAAATGGGCGGGGTTTTGAGCTGGGCCTGGGGGTGGAGCCAGGCGAGGGCGGGGCTACAGGAGCATGTTAGAACCTTCCCAAAAGCAAGACTGCGGGAAAGCAAGACGCAGAAAGGGGAAGAACTGGGGTGGGGGAGTTCATCGGGGCAGGACAGAGGGCACTGCACCTAACAGGGTCTACACTGAGGACAGGGCTATGCCCTGGGGGCAGAGTCCGGCGGTGAGCAGGGCTGAGGGTAGGATTTTTTGTTCGGTGGGTGGAGCCAGATGGGTTGGACCTAATTTGTGCAGTGAGGATGGATCCCGGAGAGGCAAGCTGGGGCTAGAGGGCTTGCCTCTAGGCAATAGCGCTAGAGCTCCGGCCAACTAAGGGCAGAATTAGGAGTGAGTGGGCCTAGGAGCCAGGGGAGGACTTGGGAACCCAACACAGCAGGCCAGGCTAGTAGTAGGTGCCTGCACTGGGGGCGGAGCTGAGGGTGAGCTCTGGGTGCAGCTAGACCTCGGAGCGACCCCAGGATACCTCAGCTCCGCAGGTAGGATCTCTGCTGCCAAGTTTTCCACAGCTGGTGAGGTGGGATCCAGCGAAGGGTCTGGAGAGTGTGAGAAATGTCTTCAGGTTGCTGCACAGCTCCTGCCCCCATCCCTAGGGTTCACTTTACAAGAGTCATCTTTGAGGACTCAAGTTGGACCAAAAGACTGGGTTAACATAAGCCTCACCCCCCAACCTGACAGCGGGCGGTGATGCTTGCCCCCAGTTTGCCCTGATCCCCGGGGACGGCCCCTGCCATTTCTTTCCGTTCTAGCCTGTCTCCGAGGTGGCTTAGATCTGCCCCCGGCCTGGACAAGGCCTGGGACACCTTTTCTGTCTGCCCTAACGGCACCTTAGGCTACCCGCGCCCCAGGCCCTTAGGATGACAGGCCTCCAACTCACCGGCCTGGGTCAGCCCCCGAGGCTGCAGCTGGGCGCAGCGCAGCTCCTCATTGGCCTCCCGCAGGGAGTCCCGCTCTGCCAGCAGCCGCTGGAGGGACGGGGTGCAAGACGCCACTTGAGGCAGGGTTGGCTTCCTGGGGATTGGGCTATGCTAAGATGGACAGGGTGGGGCTTGGACGCGGGACTTCAGCCTCACCTCCTTCTCCTTTGTCACCAACTCATACTTTTCCTCCAGGTTTCGACACTCGAATAGCCACTTCTCGGCCTTCATGGCCTCCTCCTGTCGCTGGCCCTGAAGTTCCTGAACCTGAACACCGAGGAGGGGTGAGAAAGCGGGGTTTGGAGGAGGGGCAGGGACTGAATACAAGGTGAAGGCATTGGGCCCCGCGGGACCAGACCCAGCGAACTTGGAGGGGCGGGGCTTACAAGCCTAGGGAGGAGCTGGCCTGCCTGAAGGGCGTTACCTACATATAAACGAGGGGGGAGGCTAGGGGCTCAGCACCACGCTGAGGGCCCACCAAAGCGAAAGGGGCGAGGGGTCCAGCGGCCTAGAGCACCACGCCCTCCGGGCTCTGCCCTGATCCCTGCCGCACCTGTCGTCGCTGTGCCTCGAGCTGGGCACGCAGTGAGCCGGCCCGGCGTAGCTCGTCCTCCAGCTGCCGCGTGCGCTCGGCATGGCCCGCGTTACGCTCCTCCAGCTGCCGCACCTGCCGCCTCAGCTCCCGCAGCTCACCCAGGCGGCGCCGGCAGCTGCTCAGCGTGGCCTCCAGCTGCCCGGCACGCTCAGAGGACTGCCTGGGGGAGGAGGCAAGTCGGGAGAGGAGGCCTGGGTCTGCGGTCAAGGTTCAGCTTGGATCTGAGGACCACCCCCCCCACCCCCCACCCCCCCGGGTAGGGGAAGGTGTCATGTCACCTGGGGATGTAGGGGTTCAAGGTGGTGGATCATGAGGGTCAGGAGCCAGCCAGGGCCTGGTGTTTTTTTTTGGGGGGGGAGGGGTCTTTAGGGGGCGCAGAGGGAGCCCTAAGTATCAATTGTTAGCCCAGGGTCATAATCAGGGTTCCTCAGGGGCGGGAGTGAATAGAATGACTGAGGCGTTACAGGGGGAATGATGGGGCCCAGAGGCTCTGAGGAGCCCTCAAGGACACTTTGAGGTTACGAGGTGGCTATGGGATCAAATGAAGGCACGGTGAGGTCCTTCAGGGCAGAGAGCTATGTGGTCCTTTAAGATGCAGTAGGGATTCTCTAGACACTCTAACATTACAGGGGTGCTGGGGTAACAGGAGAGCCTTTAGAGGTTACAGAAGACACAGTGAAGTCGAGGGAGTGGGTGTTGGGGGGACCCACCAAGTGCTTTGGGATTGCAGGCGTGCTGTGGAGTCACGAGAAGGAAATGTCCTATCATGAGGGGCACAGATGGGTGAAGAAGGGGGTGGCAAAGTTATCGCATCTGGGGTCCTGGAGGGCACAACGGGATCCTGGGGCATGATGGCCCCTGGCCAGCACTGGAGCAGGGGCGGGGGGCTGGTAGCTGGAGTCGTGGGGATGCTACAATGTCTGGGGAATATAACGTGGGCTCAAAAGGGCACACTATGAGGTCCTGGGGGGCACCATAGAAGCAGGGATCTTGGTGGCACCCAGAGGACATGGTGGAATCCAGGATGGTGTGGTGGGGTTCAAGAGCTGGGCCTGGGGGTGGAGCCAGGCAAGGGCGGAGCTACAGGGCAGGTTAGAACATTCCTGAAAGCGAGACTGTGGGAAAGCAAGATGCAGAAAGGGCAAGAACTGGGGTGGGGGAGTTCATCCTTTATGAATGTTCTAACCTGCTCCTGCGGCCTTGCCCTTGCCTGGT